TATATGCAATACAGTCTGATGGCATGCCGGGGTAATTCATTTAGCAATGATAATAGCAGCCCCACCTGAGACATGGCATGTTAGGAAGCATAAAACTGCCAAATCACAAATCTTTGGAGATTGTCTGACAGATGTATTGTCTATATTTTGTTTTATATGATCAGAATTCCATATTTTGGAATAATACAGTTTTTTTAGAAAGGGCATTTTGAGTACTATATTTCACTTCAGGTCTTTAGGGGAAAAAAAAATATGTGAGCAACTTGGTATATTAGGTGCTAGGAGCTGAGAAACCTGCATTCTACTACTCATCTTGCCACAAACTAGTTGTGTATAACACATGCCTGAACACTTAATGCTTATCATTTTTAAGTTTTAGGTTCTTTTACCCCAAACAAAGCTGAATTAAGGTCTCCTCATTTAACATTTAACTCAAAGCTTCTTTGATTCTTTACTATTTGTATGATGAAAGGTTTAGCCTCCATATAATCCCTTAATTTGAATAAAGAAAGCAAATAGGATGTTCACTGGTTATGTGAAGCACACATGTAATGAATATTTTCCTTTTCCCTCATGATCTTTAAAGGAAACAGCAGAGTGGGATAAATAGGACAATAGCATGCTGTCTTGATTTTAGACCTTGTAGGTTTCTGTGGCATGCTTCAAATTTATGCATTCTGTTCTTAACTTTTCCTCTCTGAAATTATGAATAAATAAAATTGAGGGAAAGGAGACAAAGTAGAAGATGGAAAAAGCAAAAGAAGATAAAAAATAGGGTGTGAATACTTTGGTGATGATTGAAGTCAAGTAAATTTTCCATTGTTTGCTACATTCCTTTCCCCTGTCAGCTACTGCTACTTGCTCTCCTCCTTATGTGGAGATAGAGTCAAGTCAAATTTGTGTGGGTTTTTTTACTTTATTCCCTTGAGATGGTAAAAGGACTCAGCTATATTTGTTCTGCTGTGAGAATGGATAACAGACAATTCAGAAGATTTGTTTAACATTTTCTTGCACTATGCTACATACATTTTTAAATTGCTGGCTGTTTTAGGTTTTCCCTCTCTTAGCTGTGCTATTTTCTGTCTTCTAATGGCAAAATAACACAGCAAATTTTTTTCTCTTATATGTAATAGGTAAGGCTGAGTTAAATTGTGTTGCTCTCATAAATGTTGTATGACCAGGGAAAAGTTAATTGAGTCATATATTGGGATGGGAGGGACTTTGAAAAATTATTATATTGGTCTCAAATGGTTTTGTCCAAAAGTCTTGTCCCAACAAAATCTTATACTAAAACCCATTGTGTAAAATAGATAAAAGTAATGACCATCAAGTGGTTCAAATCTACTTTGTTAGAATCAGCAGAGTGGCAAACACCTGTAATCTCAGCTTCTTAGAAGGTAGAAGCAGGAGGATCATAAATTCAGGCCCAGCCTGGGTGACTTGATAAGACCTTGTATCAAAATAAAAAATTGTGAGAAAAGTTATGTAGCTCACTGGTACAGCACTTTCCTAGCATGTATGAGGTCTTGAGTGCAGTTCCAGAACTTGG